GTTTTGTTGAACAGAAACAGACTAATGGTTAAAATATGTTTTCAATTGACATACTTGGTCTGGCCAGTTTGCTTTGCATCGCATAAAAAATAATGCTTTTCTTTATATTATGCGGTGACGATTCCAGGTGTATGATGATTACAATACATTAAACAATAGTTTATAAATATGCATATTTTTCGAGGGCATTGTTTTCGATTTTATGTAGACAATTCGCATAATACAAGGATGAAAGTTATGGATTTTTTTCGCTGATCTAGTTTTGTTAGCTGGTGTTTACGAAGGATTTTTAATTATGCGCCATGTCGAAAGTTTGCTCGTTTTTAATTTCATATTGCTGTTCTGAAGCCCGTTTTCGGTCAACCGTTTGAAAATATAGGAATGCGAACTTCAGGACATTATAAAGGAGGCTTTAGGTTACATTTAGGGCGAATCAACATCACGTTTAGGGCGAATTTGGCTTTATTCGGGCCAGTCGTTCGGGCCTAATTATTTTTTGAACTTTGCCAAGTTTTTGTGCAGCTTTTTATTTTTGCCCCAGATTTTTCGAAAGTGCGTTTCTGAACTGTGGGCTAATATATCCGAATACGGATTTTATGAACTTGTAAAGAATGCCCCAGTTTACAGGCGATGTGAATTTGGTTTCATTCGATCCACTGGTTTCTACATAATTCATTCTTGAACTTGCGTCAAAGTGTTTACGATTTTTTATTTTTCAACCCTGCCCTTCTCTTGGCCGTTTCTAAGGCCCGCTTCAGCCATTTTAATGCTGGTTTAAAGAAAAATGGAAAAAGAAGCTTTGCTTTCCGAGTAATGTGAATCTGGTTTCACTTGATCCACTGGTACCTTCATAATTCATTCTTGAACTTTGGTGAAAATGTTTGCTTATTTTTGCACCCGGTCCTTCTCATGATCACCTGTTTTAGAGATCCATATAAAGATTCAAAAAAAATGAATGAAAATGAAATAGAAGCCATGGTTTACATGTGATCTTAATTTTGTTTCATTCGATCCTCTGGTTCTTCCTTCATAATTTATTTTTGAACTTGGGTGATATTTTCCGCTTTTTTATTTTTGCATGTTGTCCTTCTCATGATCGTTTCTAATCACTCGCTTCAGACATTTCAATGCCTGTTTCAAAACATGGAACAAGAAACTTGATTTTTCATGTTATGTGAATTTGGTTTCACTCGAGCCACTGGTTCCTTCATGATTCATTCATTCTTGAACTTGAGCAAAATGTTTTGTGTTTTTTGATTTGTGCACCCGATCCTTCTCTTGATCGTTTCTAATTACCTGCTTCAGAAATTCTTATGTGGGTTTCAAAAAATCGAAAAGAAACCTTCATTTTACATGTTATGTGAGCCTGGTTTTATTCGATTTTCTGGTTTCTTGATAATTGATGCTTGAACTTGAGTAAATTTTTGAGCGGTTTTTCATTTTTGCACCTCGTCCTTTTGATGCCCGTTTCTAATCATTTGCATCAACCCTTCATTTGCGGATTTCAAAATCAAAAAAATCGAAACGGAACCTTCATTTTACATGTGAGGTGAATCTGGTTTCATTCGATCTACTAGTTTCTTGATAATTAGTTCTTGAACTTGAGTAAACTTTTGGGCCGGTTTCGATTTTGGCACCTCTTCCTTCTGATGCCCGCTTCTGATTATTTACTTCAGTTCTTCATATGCGGGCTTCAAAAAATCGAAACGGAACCTTCATTTTACATGTGAGGTGAATCTGGTTT